GGAAGAGAATGTGGAGAGTGAAGAACTGAATGAAGTGGAGGAGAAACATCATGATGTCACAACTGAAGACAAATCTGAGTCTCTCACAAAATAAAAGTACATTTGGGAAAACAGGTTTCAGTGGTGTGTTAAGAGGAGTAATTTTATATTCCATATCTCGGATAGTGCATCTACATCACAGAGATGTCTTCATTTACATCTGCAAGATGTATTTTTTAGAGCGTTTGCTCATCTACATGACATCTCTAAGACATTTCCCATGTTGTCAAATAGACGTTGATTTAGAATGTATGTGAAAATGGACACCTTAAAGATGTTTATCAGATGTTTGATTAGATGTTCCAGATCAAGCAATCTTTAAAAGACGTCTTGCAGATGTCCAGATGTGTGGTCTGGTTGCTGATAGGATTGTTGAGCACACAGCTGTAGGTGTTTTTATCCTGATATTCCACCTCCAGAGGTAGAGAGAGACTGATGCTGAGATCAGACACACTGATGCTGGACAATAAACTGTTTCCTTTGTACCAGGAGAGAGTCACATGACTCACATTCACCACTGAACACAGGAAGATCCTCGATGATCTTTCAGCCGATAAAGCACATTGTGAAGTATCACTACAGGAATGGGCACATGAGCTGCAAACGCAATAAAGAGGAAACATAAAACTAGAAAAAAAAATTATATTATTTACAAAACCTAGATTTATCTCACCATAAACAGTGACAGCAAATCGCTTGGTTGACTTCTTATTCCTGATAATGATGCTCAGTTGATAAACGCCAGTGTGTTCATTAGTGATGTTTGTGACGGTGAGATCTCCCCAACCCTGCAGAGACGTCAAATATTTATTACTCACCAATCAGAGGAATAAAACATAAAAAGTACAAAACGAGCGCGTGAATCATTTTCTTCAACAGTTTGAGATAGATCACAATGCCTTTAACAGATTTCATGAAACACATCGCGTCTTGAATATGCATGGGTCCATTATCTTAGCTATGTCTAGATAACTTGTGGTTTAGAGCCAAGAAGAAAAAGTCCTCAGACAATCAGAAAACAACAACAACAAAAAAACTCTTTCAGTCTGCGCACCTCCGTGAAGTGCGCCGCGAGATGATGTAGCCTACATGAACGCGCAACTACCAAAATACTGATGTTGTGGCTCAGTTTCGCATCCGGGTTTTAATTCCTTAGCTCTTAATAACACCACAAGACAGTAACCTCTGTTTATCACTTGTTTCCATGGATATGACATGGGTATTTCAATATAGTGACTAATTTTACCACAGTCTTTCGACGGTATACTCGCATAGAAGCTGTTATTTTTCTTTCCAGAATGAAGCACTTTGGTTCGTTTTACTGCCGTGTTAAGATATAGCCTACGTTGTAAGACATTTTCACAGTTAATTCTTGGGCTTTCTCTGGGCGAATGGCGAGGGATTTTTGGCCTGCCGAATATCTTGGTCCAAAGCGGGCCAACTCAGGCTTGAGCTGTGGTTATGAACAAAGGAGGAGTTTCTCCGTCTGGAGAGGGTCAGCGCTGCTGATTAGGGCTGCACGATTAATCTAATGCGATTCTCATGAGCATTTTGTCAGTAAAGTCGGTTCTGTAATCAGCAGTAAATCTCCATGGCACACCCGATTTATTCAGCAACCGCATTTCCTGGATTTCTTCTGCGGGCATATTTGGAGTTTCCGCGCAAGAGCGTCCTCAGGCCTTTGGATGAAGATTTACTACTGATCACAGAGCTTCACTGACAAGATGCGCATGACAATCGTAACATTTGCCTAATCGCGATTTCATTTCAATTTATCGTGCAGCCCTACTGCTGATCATTTCATAGCTACCAGCTACATCAGCATTAGACATTTAAAATCCTTTTAACTGAAAATTTACTTTCAGAGAGCAGAAAGTGGTTGAAATAACATAAAATTCAATTTGATCTGATGTGGATTCTGACTACTGTATAAGGCAGAATTATATTATTTATATGCGATGCAAAAGGCTAGCATTACCATGGTAAACATTAAATACAAGACACTGCATCAAATCATATATCATATTTATTTGGTCACATATTTTATCTGTCAATGAGTCTCTGCGCTCAAAGCTCCAGATTGTAGAATTTTGTGGGAAAATTATAGAAATTATCATTCTGTCTAAGGACATGTGATATAAACAACTGAAAATTTACCAGATTTTTTTTTTATGTGCATGTTTTTGAGCAACGCCGACGTCCTACGTCATCCGCCCGGAGCTGCTTCTGTGTACAACAGTGAGTGCAAGCTAGATTAAATTGATAAATTGATTTTACAGCACCGTTAACGAAAAATCAAAAATAAACATCTCTTTGTTCTGTATCTTCATGCTTCACTCTGAAGAGTTCTGGATCACTTTTGATATCACTGTAATCTTCAATATAGGCTACTCTATCTTTATCGATTTATGTTCTTCCAGATGGTCTGAACTCATGTCTTGCACTTGTAAATAGTGATAAAAAAAAAACACGATTCGTGATTCTTCAAAAACTTTGCAAAACTGTTATTTAGAAACTGCTGTTCAGATTGCGCCTCTTCTTTTCTTTCCTTTTATGGTGTTTTTGCTGGTCTTGGAAACCAGTGTAAAAGGTGCATTTGTGCCACCTACTGGTCGGGAGTGCGGAGCGCACATAGTTTAATTAGGGGATAAAGAAATGAAAGGGGAGAAAAAACGAAATACTTCTATATTCTTTCTGTTATCTTTTTAAAATATGTAAACATTTCCTCATATACTCTTGATTGCCTTTATCCGTTTTGCTAAACCTTAGAATGATATAATTCTCAGACCAAATTGTTGAGAGCTGAAGTTTTCCTCTTTCATATGCAATACATTTTAGAATGCTTTACTTTTTCTGGGTGTCCTGTACTAAACAAAAATAATGAAGTGCTTTCCAAATATCTTACTTTGATAGAGATATTTTAAAGAGATTTTATGAGGCAATCTCTGCTGCTTATAGATTGATGTCATAAACATGGTATACTTTAATTTTGCTTTCAAAACTTTTTGAAGTTGCTGAGATAAAAGCGCTAAATGCCTTAACAGGAAAGTTCACCAAAAATAAAAATTCTGTCTTCATTTATTTACCCTCATATCGTTTCAAACCTGTATTTTCTTTTGTCTGTGGAACATAAAACATATATTTTGAAGAATGTTGGAAACCAATCAGAGTCACTGAGACATTTTTCATTATCTTCTCGTGTTTCCACAGAAGAAAGTCATACATGTTTGGAATGACATTAATATTTTTTGGGGGGGAACTGTCCCTTTCAATATACATACAATGAGAACATGTCTTTATATTAGCCAGCCAGACCACTGTAAGGACCACCCACTGGTCCAACGACAGAATCCAATGGCATGGGGTGAAAGATTCTGCAAGTGTCTTGTCTGCTGCTTCTGTAAAAATCACTTAATTTATTAATTTAGTCTTCAAATTTAAAATCTGACTCCACTGGTAATTTATTCTAAATCCATATTTTAGAATAAAATATATTTACATTTATAGTGGATCACAAGATTAGTTGTGCATTATTATTTGATCTTTCTGGGAAACGCTTACTTTCAATTACTAATTCGTCAGGGACACAATGCCACAGAGTCACACGCCGGCCTATTTATGTGAACCTCACGGGCACAAATGTTTCATCACAGTGTCACGACGTAAGCTGTCCCAATTCAGGATGCACCCTCCGAAGACTGCATTCCAAAGCCGATTGCGTCACCATGGCATAGATTACTTTTGTTTGTGAAGGGAATAAATGCATCTATGTTCACGCGAATCATTCATTATCCAGCTTCACTTACAGCAGAAGGGAGTATAAGGTTTTTTTTTTTTTGAGTCTTTGCAATCGCTGTTCCTAATAACGTGCTAGTTAGCAAGTTCCCTTTCGAACGCTCACTTCACGTTGTGTATGGGGAAAACTCCTGTTTTACTCCGTACTGAAGCCTGATTTGTTCACGTTTGTGTAGCTGCACAAACCAATGGTGCTTTAGCCTGCCAGAAAGGACAGAACTGATGTGTATATAAGTTGGCTCGCAGTGCCATTTCTTCAGATCATGCTCCTTCCGCAACGAGGATCATCTCTTCGCTGACTCTATCAAGAAGCCGAAGGAGGAAGAAGCTCAGCCTTCAGCTCGCAGCTAAAGCACCATTGGTTTGTGCAGCTACACAAACGTGAACAAATCAGGCTTCAGTACAGAGTCAAACAGGAGTTTCCGAAGTGTAAACTTTGCTTGCAAAAAGGAGCCATGGAGATATTCCTCTACTAAACAGCAAGTCGGGCTTTTACAGCCACTACTTCCTCGTTCCCAAATGGTTTCCCCATAAGTGTGTTAAATGCAACGCTCATTCCCTCATCTCAAGGAACCAAGGTTACGTTAGTAACCGGAGCATTTCATGGCTAAATGAGGCTAAAGTAAACAGTCTCTCAGAGCACTGGTCCTCACCCCACAGAAGAGAGGGGCAGGGTCAGCAGAGCTCATTAGCATTTAAAGCAACACGCAAAAACAGATTTATTTTTGCTGAGCTGGTTTTGACAAAGTAAAAAGGGCGTATTACACACTACCATTGAGAAATTCACCAAAGTATGTTAGACTTCATTAAGACCCTAAAGAATCATACCAACTTGTGGAAAATGGGCATCCAATGACCCCTTTAAGACCAACACAAATTTAATACTGAATAAAAGGGGAAGGGCGAAGAATATGGTAACGTTAAGGAAAAAAAAAAAAATAAAATAAAACTGGAGTCTTTGGAGACATACCGACTCGCTAAATACTGAACATTTGTCAAAACTATTAAACCAAGATTTACACAAATCCTACACTTCTCTTGCATTAGTGTTAACCTGTGTTCTTGGTTTCATTTCTGGTAGCTTTATACTTCAGTTCAAGGATTTCCCACTACTTTTGCTGCCAAGCTCCTGGAGAAAGCACTTATAAAAAATATCCACACAACAAGTTTTGCTAAACTGATATTTATTTGGTGAATGTAGAAGACCTCAAATATGGTACGCAAAAAAACCTTTCCCAATGGTTAAACTGGCATGGTTCGCTGCATGCATGCACGCACGCACAGGTGGTTGGGCAACACTTCGGTCAGGCAGGACATCAATCATCATGGGAAGAGTTATCAGCACACATTTGGTCTGAGACATGGATCAGGCCTCACTGCATGGAAACAGATAGTCAGACTTGGTCTGTCCAGTTAACAGCACAAAACACTCAAAGCATGAACCACAAGTTTTACTTTCACAGCGAGTTGTAGTGCGTGTGTTGGGGAACCAAGCATCAATATAACAAATACCTTTAAATGGAGGTGTACATTCACGTCCACATTTAGTGCTGCAGCACTTCTCATTGTTCGGACAGTCAACGTCATTGTCACACAACTCTTCACACAATCCTTCTCCAAAGAATCTCCTTGGACACACTCCTGGCTTTTCTGTTATACAAACACAACAGGAAAACCAGATCACTGACTGATTTAATCTGGTAATGGGGGGGGACCTGACCAATGCATTAATATAACATACCTTTAGACAGAGCCATACACTGATGTCCACATCCATTGCTGCAGCATTTCTCATCATTCGGACAGTTACCGTCATGAGAACACAATTCAGCACACACTCCTATGCCAAGGTTTTTGCTTGGACACACTCCTGGCTTTTCTTGTATACAAGCACAACAGGGAAACCAGATCACTGAATGATTCAATCTCTGTAATAGGGAGGGAAAAAAAAAGCTGACCCGCACACCAATATTACAAATACCTCTATATGGAGGCATACACTGTTGTCCACATCCTTTGCTGCAGCATTTCTCATCTTTTGGACAGTCACTGTCATGAGAACAACTCTCAACACACTCACCTAAAAGCGCTACTTCAGGATTTTTTGGACACACTCCTGGCTTTTCTGGTTCTGCGAAATAAAAAAAATAAAAAAAACCACACACCATACACTGAAAGCAAGCTGACCAGGGCTGGATTGGTAATCGGGTCTATATCGACTATATTGTCGGACCTGACATTTTCTTCTTATCCAAAACAACTAGATGTGATATGAGTGCGATGCATACATACACTACCAGTCAAAAGTTTTTGAACAGTAATATTTATGTTTTTTTAAAGAAGTCGCTTCTCACCAAGCCTGCATTTATTTGACCCAAAATACAGCAAAAGCAGTAATATCAAAATGTTTTTACTAAAAATAACAGCTTTCTATTTAAATATATATAAAAAAAAAAATATATACATAATTTATTTCTGTGATCAAAGCTAAATTTTCAGCATCATTACTCCAGTCTTCAGTGTCACAGGATCCTTCAGAAATCATTCGGATATGCCAATTTGCTGTTCAAGAAACACTACCACTACCACCAATTTAAAACAGAAATTACAGAATTATTTATTAAAATTAAATTTAGCAAGGAGGCTTTAAATTGATTGAAAGTGATGATAAAGACATTCATAATGTTACAAAAGACTTCCATTTCAGAAATGCTTTTCTTCTGAACTTTCTATTCATCAAAGAAACCTGAAATTCTACTCTGCTGTTTTCAACATACATATATACACATATATGGTGGGACGCCTAGACCAAAAAAAAAAAAAATGCCTGGGCCGACTTTAATCCCAGTCCAGCCCTTAAGCTGACCCACACTAATATTACAAATACCTTTATATGGAGGCATACACTGTTGTCCACATCCTTTGCTGCAGCATTTCTCATCTTTTGGACAGTCACGGATAGACGGAGTGATAAAGTACTTCGCTCCGCCTATATAAATATCGCTTCACTCCAACTGGTTCCTCGTCGGCTTCTCCCATGTTTTCACAGCAGATTTATCAAGAACAGGCGTGCTCTGCGGTGAGTAAGAGCAAAGAGCAAGGCAGGAGGAGGAGAACAGAGTAGTTGAATCGGTAAAGTGCTTGATAGGGACTCACAACGAAGGCAGGCATCCAACCTATCCTAATGTGTGTGCACGCCATGTGTAGAATACGGACACTTTAAAACGCAAATTCACCCCCCCACACTTTTTTTGGCCAAGTCAAGTGTGTTCATAGAGGTTTCCATGGGCCAATGTGAATAAATCTAGATTTAAAATAAAATAAAAAATAAAATAAAAGACTATATTGTTGGACCTGACCTTTTATTCTTATCCAAAACAACTAGATGTGATAGGAGTGTGATGCATACATACACTACCTCTCAAAAGTTTTTGAACAGTAAGTAATATTCATGTTTTTTTTTTTAAAGTCGCTGCTTCTCACCAAGCCTGCATTTATTTGATCCAAAATACAGCAAAAGCAGTAATAGTGAAACGTTCTTACTATTTAAAATAACTGCTTTATTTAAATATATGAATTTTTTATTTATTTCTGTGATCAAAGCTACATTTTCAGCATCATTACTCCAGTCTTCAGTGTCACAGGATCTACTACTACTACTACTACTACTACTACTACTACTACTACTACTACTACTACTGTCATGAGAACACATCTCAGCACACACTCCTGACACTGCTACTTCAAGGTCCTTTCTAGGACACACTCCTGGCTTTGTTGGTTCTGCTGACATACAAAACACAGAGAGAAAATAAATAAATAATAATAATTCAGTCATAGGTTTTAAGTCAATCTCCTTCAAAATTTCAAGTCAACTTCAAAATTTCAAGTCAACGTGTTGCTTGTGGTTTCGTCACAATTACATGAAACTAGCAAATTGAGAGAATTTTTTTTTTTTTTTTTTCCCAGCATTTCTTTGGAAAACCTCTAACATTCACCATTAATTGAAACCCACTGAAAGCAGGGAGTAAACATACAGCCACACAATCATATCGAAAGCATGCATGTCTTCTAGAGCAATCTTTATTAGAAACATCCTTGATAGGAAGGCACAACCATCAGCTTCGCCAGACACCGACCAGCCACTAATGAAGCAGATTCAACAGGATCATTAGGGGAGACCACAGAGTGCTGAAATCACTTTCTCAGAACTTGCAAGCCAGTGGTTGTGTAACACATGTATCAAACTGAAGTATAACAGACAAATTTGTCTGTATAACCAAAGTGGTTTAAAAATCCACCATTTATCCCTAAACGATTTCAAAGGCAAGGAGGGACACTACAACATAGAACCTACCTCACTACTGGTGGTGTAGTGCATAGTAATGCCAACATAAAACACAGCAGTCCATTTTAATACAATCTATACGAATAAATACTTATAATATACCATGACCACCACAGTTACACTTCAAGCATTTTAATACTTCATTAAAGGCTTACAAGTCATGATTAGCCCCCGATGCTAAATTGCATGTAAAGAACAAAACATTTGGAAAATGATTTAAAAAAACAAAACAAAAAAAAAACCAAGGAGTTCAGGAGTGATGGTATACGTACCTGGTAACAACCCTGCAGCCAAATGAATAGATCCATTTACTGTAAAAGCAAATACGTACATAATTTTGTAGCTATAGTACAACATTAATGTAAATCTTATTGTGTTTTCCTTGTTTAATTAAAGAAATATAAACAGATAACAGCAATCTTAATGACTCAAACTACACCAACACAAAGTTTAACTTTCACTGGACGTCTGGTAGGCTAGTGTATTTTTATATGTTTTGATGCGTCTAAAGCCCTTTTTTATAAGTTCTTATTTATATATATATTTCTTCACACTATGTAATGAAGTTAAAAGATCTCACCTGTGGCTGCTCCTTCAGCTCTTGTGCTCAAACATACAGAGACACAAAATAAAGCAGCAATCAACGAGCAGCACACTCGAGATGTCATCCTCTCGACCTGCGACCTCCCAATACACTCTGCTGAAAAATGCACTGATTTAGTGAGTCAGGAGGCTTTTAAGACACTTTTTGAAAATGCGTTTTTAAAAATCCAAGGAGACCTGGCGCAACTCCAACTCTGATGAAACTCACCTGCCTGTTGCTGCCTAATATTGAAGACCCTGATTAGGTTGTCCAGGTGTGTTTGATTAGGGATGGAGACAATTGAGACACGACAAAACACAGCCACTTGTCGCCACCCAGCAAGCAATTTTCAGTTTAAAAGACATCTAATAGCTGTCCAAACACAGACGTCTAGGCTAAAACAAGGCTAAATTTGGGCTGTCAGTGAAAATTTAATAAGAAAGGAAAGGTCGTGACGTGTGGCCAAGTATGGTGTCCCATATTTGGAATTCGTGCTCTGCATTTAACTCATTCAAGTGCACACACACACACACAGCAGTGAGTAGTGAACAAACACACACACACAATGCTGCAGCGCCCGGGGAGCAGTTAGGGGTTCGGTGCCTTACTCAAGGGTCTCACCTCAGTCGTGGTATTGAAGGTGGAGAGAGTGCTGGATATTCACTCTCCCCACCTACAATCCCTGCCAGACCTGAGACTCCAACCACAACCTTCAGGTTACAAGTCCAACTCTCTATCCATTAGGTCATGACTGCCCCATAATAGATGTCTAACCATAGCCCAAGAATAGACTAGTCATCAAATAGACAGCTAATGAATGCCTACATATATACATATAATAGACAACAAAATGGCAATCCATCCAAACAAATTACATATACAGCTTTTATTAAGAAAAATAAAATTTTAACAAGTTAAGACAATACAAAATGATAAAAATACAAAATAATTAATGATAAAATATTATAAATACAATACACAAATATAAATATTATGATAAAAATATCTGGAATTTTTAACAACTTAAAGGGGTCATATGATGCTATTTTAAAGATCATTATTTGGTGTAACAGAATATGTTGACATGCTTTAATGTTCAAAAAACACATAAATGTAAAGACCGTAAATAATGTCCTTAGTTTTACCATCAGTTCAAACCCGAAAGCGGAGCAGAGTCGTGTGACAGACACAATGATGATGCTCGTATGTATTTGCAGTACACAAGCCGTGATTAAGAAAGCTGACTCCACTGTAATGTGTCCCTGTCTCTCTCACGCACACACACACACACACACACACACACACACACACACACACACACTCGACGCGATACTCTACACC